AACAATATTAGCAAGATTTAGATGATTTAGCCCTGTCTAACATTATATAACATGTTTGCCCCCCTCTATATTGAGTTTCTGGCTCCGCCACTGGTCTTAGCACGACGACTTCCCGACTGTCTACTACAACAAGGTTTGCCCGGTTCCGGCGAAGGAGGGGCGATGACGGCGGCCCGCCTTCGGCTCGCTCCAGTGCTTGTAGTCGTCGCTAGATGGTCCACGGACATGCTTGTATTTTTTTATTACCTCTATTATTCTTTGTACTGACATGATTTTTTTTTCGAAAGTACGTCAATGGCGTACCTTAGCTTTATAAAAGGGAGAAAAATATGTACAAGATTACATGGTAGATCGTCACAAGCAGGGGAGGGGAGGGGAGAGCAACACCGGCGGCTCGGCGGCGGCCGGAGCGGAGGGATGTTGAGGTGCCGCGCGCATCGGCCATGGGGCTGAAGCCGTTACATTTCTGTCCACCCAGCCACTAAATCCTCGCAACGCGATGCAAGTCCAAGGTTGAAGTGTGGCGGTTCAGATTGTGAATCTCTTCTCAGTACGAGTATATATTCTTCAGTGTGTAGGCTGTTCTGACTGTGTGGTTACTAGGCGAATCTAACTAGGTAATTACCTTTGATATCTGCATTACTTTCGTATAAATTAATGTTCCTTTTTCAGAAAAAGTGAGAGCTAATTTCTTTCTCTGTTGCAAATGTTTTGATCCAGAAGGGATGAACTAGGCGTGCTTACAGTTTTGTAATGCCGTGAAGATTCATTGCAGAGAATGACACTCGATTGCAACATTAGAATAGTGTCCCCCTAAGGGGATTTAACTTCGATAACTACAGTCTTTTGTTTGTGTATGCTGTATGCAGCAGCGAAGGTAAGCATCAAGTCTTACTATTCAACACCTAACCTCTTGGTAAATAGTAACTTCAACTGCTCTGCGGGCAAGTGTGAGAATATTCAGTCTTAACTCTCCTTCACATTGCACCTGAATATCTGCATCATGGTGGTGTTACCTGGTCTGTGGTCTCATGGTAAGTTATTCAGCAATGTGCATCATTGTAGATTCATCTGCTTTTAATTTCATAAAAAGATAGGACAATTTTAATCGATTTTTTTCGCACACTGTCCAGATTTTGCACATTGTTTGCATTGGTTACTACAACTGTGCTTAAGGCTATCTAAGCTTTGAATCCATCAGCATTTTCTACCTTGGACAGCCCTCTGTTCCACACTCCCAATTGCTAGTTTTTGAGAATTTCATATGCGTCTAGGCATGGAAGAGCTAGCCCAATAGTGCAACAGTGTCTCCATATAGCTTTCTGGAAAGTCTGTTGTTTACAAGGAACTTATTAGACTGGCCACAATGGGTAGTAACATAGATTAGTAACATGCACATATTACTAGTCTATGTTACTACCTCTATAGTGGGGAGTAACATATGTGTGGTAACATGCAACACTTAATTTATTAGGCTATAGACTCATTTTGCCTTGATATGTGTGATGTTACTCATACTACTAGTAACTAGCTATGTTACCACTTTTCTCCATTTCTTCATTTATTGCTTGCCACATCATCTATTTTATCTAGATATGTGTGATGTCACTACCTATGTTACTCCCACTGTGGGTAGTCTTAGAAGCTCACCCTCAGAAAAAATTAACATTAAATGGACATGAAACCCGAAGAAGAAGAGGCAACCGGTTTGGGCTGGAGAAGGAAGCACTGTATATATACTCCATTCCACTTCCATAGAAGTAGTGCTTCAGTTATTTCCCAGAGAGCAACCATGCATTCTTGTGTCCTATCCAAAAACCCGCTGCATGCTTTGGTCTTCTGTTTTTTTTTGGAAAAGGAGGCTCACCCCTGGCCTCTGCATCAGAACGATGCTTTAGACTTCTGTGAACAAAGGAAGCAATTACCAGAGCAAATATGTAGCTTGCAAAAATCCTCATAAAAATCCTTTTGTGGTGAGACTGAGAAATGATCATGGAGTTAATTTTTCCAGATGATGATACAAGTATTCTTTTGCCCAGATATTCAAGGAAACTCTTCCTCTACCTCCAGAAATTGGTCAGGCGTTGTACTCTTGTAAAGGTTTGACTTAGGCAATACACCTTCAGCTCCCATGACATCATGGTGGTGCCGGAAACCTTCCAAAGATATCACTCTTCAAAGTGGTCCCATGGCGTCTTCAGCTTTATTAGCTTCCCGAGTTCCAACTTAGCCAAACTTGAACCACCATATTTTGAAGTATAAAATTACATACATGAACAAGAAAATGGAGGAAGCTATATATGGCCAACTACGATGGTATATACTTGAACAGGAAAATGAAGAAAAACAAAAAGCAAAACCTACAAATAAATGAGACAGTAAACTCTAAGAGCATGAATGCTTTGACATTTCACGAGTTTATGCTTGGCCCCTCCTCCTTCTTCTGGGCTTGGGACCGGATATGCAAAGATATTAGCTATCTTTTCTTTTTCGGTGGCTGATTTGGTAATGCTTCCAACCTACATATATGAAATAACTCTCAGAAAACATATAAGTGGAGTATGCATGGTTATTATTTGAAATGATGAGAAAGATATATGTAGCGCGAATGCAGATTGGTAATGGCCTCTTTTTCTGTTGATTGACAATTGCTGTGATTTACTCTAGAGAGGAAGGAAAGACAAGGTGCCAATAAAGGAGAGAACTAGGTAAGCTGACAGAGTTGAGTACTCAGATAGGGAGCGTACGTACCTTGATTCCGGTAGGTGGAGATATACGGCTAGCTGGAAAATGTGATTGGGAAACACATCGGTTTGGGAATCTGGAAAAGGGGGGAAAGGAGATTGTGAGTTACACGGCTAACTGTCCATGGAGATCAGCGCTAATGAATAAATAAATATGCACTCATATCCTGTTGTGTGATATCATGCCTAAGGCAGTTGGGAAGCACATCAATTGCACGCTTTGCTATTTCCTTAGCATTCTTGTAATCCGCAAGTGGAGCCCATAAATAGACTCTGACTTCCTGAAGGAAAGGGAGGTTCCCTAGGCTACCAAAGTCAAATTAAAAGCTAATGTCATCATCATTGGCATGTGCTACGACTTGGAACTCAAGAGATTCAAGGACCGGCATATCTCCCTCTTGAAACGAGCAAGTCGTTGCTTGTGTCTTGAAGACCCTCAGCTTGGGGAATGCACCTACACCGCTGATGGTGTCATGGTGGAGAGCTGACCATGTGACCAACTCAAGGGAAACAAGCTCTCGGAAACTTCCAAAGACCTGCAGGTCTGGACTGTATACATTTAGTTGTAAATGGGAGAGGTTGGGAAGAAGCGAGGGATTGATCGTTGCCACCAGCCCGGGTTCTTGGTAGGCCATCCGCAGCACACAGAGTTGTGGAGGGAGGATGCTCCGTTCCCAGGGGTTGTCGTCATGATTGGAGAATCTGTACCCAAGAAAAAAATCAATGTCTATGACTTGGATCTTGCTCAGTTTGGCTACAAACTCCGCCCAACTATTCATTGCGATATTACCACCTACAGTCACACTTTTAGAAATGCGGAGCTTCCTCAACTCTGTCAGCTTACCCAGTTCTGTCACAAAGTTTGAGTGCATACCGACTTTTCCTAGGCATAGCTCTTCTAGACATGTCAAATCTCCGATCCAGTATGGCACTTCAATCTTTGTTTCGCTGATGTTCAAGCACTTGAGTTGACTTAATTAGTAGATGAATACTCTCTGGAAGTTCGCTTCTACTATTTCCAGCCAAGTCCAATACCATCAAGAACTTTAGATATCCTATTTCCTTTCGGAGCTCATGGATACCCATGCTTGTTAGTTTGAGGTGCCTCAAGTGAACTAACTTCCCAACATGCTCAAGACAATTAGGATAGTGCGAATTAGTGGGGCCATCAAAAGCTAGGACACGCAAAACATCAAAGCACGAAAGTGATGGCAACATCTCAAGACTGCACATGGCATTAAGTGACCTTGCTAGTAATGTGGATGTGCTAGCGAGAGGTCGGACCCTACGATGAACAACTAGCCTATGAGAGTTGCAATGTGAAGTTGTATATTGCTCGTCACTATCCAATAAAGTAACAAAGTTTTCTTCCTTTGACAATAGGCATATCACATATCAAGCATTATGTCATGGACACGACAACCAGTTATGATTCCATGATAAGGTATTTCTACCGGCATTATCATGCTTTTGTTCACCAACTCGTTGAAGTACCTTTCACCAATCTCAAATAGTCTTAACCCTGGTTCCTCATGGATAAAACCTTCGGCGACCCATTTCCATATCAAACTATCTTTCCCAATCAGATGATCCTCAGGATATATGCTCAAATACAATAAGCAAGTCTTTAGGTGACAAGAAAGATCATAATAGCTAAATAGAAGTATTTTTCTTGTGTTTTCCACATCTTCATTCTCTTCATGCCCAAAACCGATTGAGGTGTATACCTTAGACCAAAGCTCCACCGGCTTACTGACGAGCAAACTAGCTATTGTGATTATAGCCAATGGTACACCACCACATTTATGTAAAATTTTATTGTATACCTCTGACGGTAGATGATTAGGCTGATTTATTTTACCCCCAAATAATCTTCTATGAAATAAATCCTCCGATAAATCAGGAGAAAGTGGTTGTAGCCTGTATACTTTACCAGTTCTTGCGGCAACTTCGAGTATACGAGTAGTTGTGACGATCCTGCTTCCACAATTAGTACACACCAAAGCGGTCTTGACTAGTTCCCATGTTTTTTTATCCCATATGTCATCAATGACGATTAAGTACCTGTGATCACCATCCATAATGCAAAAGATATCATAAATTAGGGAAACTATTTTACAAGGCATCTAAGTATGTAATATATTTTTTATAAGAGGACGCATGGATGTCAGCCACCACCTCGTTAAGGAATCTAAAGTTTATCTACGAGAAGTCTATTTCTGATTAAGAAACTTTCACAATCCAGATACTTCCATCTATTAGATATATTTTTGAATTGACATCTATCGTCAGAAGTTCAAGAATATATGAATGTGGGGGAACATTCGATAGTAAGTCCCAACCTAAAGTATAGCAAAGAAGGTAGGCAAAAATGATATTATACATTATTCCACGCAAAAAAATACAGTTTTTGAAAATATACAAGAATGACCATAGTCCATCCGAACCCTTCTATAAGAGATGTCTCAAAACATAATTTATCCCTCATTTCGTCGCAGGTGTGACGCTATTTTTGCCCCCATTTACTACTTGATGTATAGTATGAAACTACATAGTACTCCCTCTGTACAAGTATTTCGGTACAGAGGTAGTATGCATACCTCTTTATCTCATAGTTCATCAATCAGCTGCCTTTCATCCAACTCCTCATTTACTACTTGAACTATATGAAATTAAATAATAGGGTGTGTACCTCTTTTTCTCATGTAATACTCGGATTTCATCAATCAGTTGCCTTTCTGTAACGCCCTCGATGCGGCTATATCTCCCACGTGTCGAAGCACGACTTAGAGGCATAACCACATTGAAAGCAATGTCGCAAGTGAGGTAATCTTCACACAACCCATGTAATACATAAGGGAAAGAGATACATAGTTGGCTTACAATCGCCACTTCACACAATTACATGAATAAAGCATTACAACAACCAAATACAATCAGGGCCCGACTACGGAGCCAAAATAAAAGAAGAACCCCAAATGCGACACGGTCCACGAGACGTTGATCGTTCGGGGTCCGACTTGCGGGTCTTGCCGACATGAGTGGTACTTGGCGTTTCCGCGCCGTCGGTCTTGCCGGTCCCGGTCTCGACAAAGTAGTTGTACAAGTGCGCCTTCGGACTTGTCGAATCTGAACTCTTCAAGGACCGTCGTGGTACTTGGCGCTTGCGGGGTGGTGTTTGCCGAAACCAAGGGAACTAGACAAAATCTTTAGCGATGGAGCTTGGCGATAATCTTTGTTCGGTAGTCGTCTGACTTGACAGCAATGGCAACGGCAAGCGGAGGAGGTCCTGGGCTTCGGGCGCGCGATGCCACAGGGAGGAGACGAGAACTAGGTGGCATGTGGAGAGGATCGTGGTCGGGCTCAACCACGTCGAGGAGGCCGTGGCGGAGCGAGCAGGAGGCGCTGGGCATGGGAACCCCCGCGTCCAGCGGGGCACACGGGATGCAGGAGGCGAGGCAAGGCGAGCTCGGCGGCCTGGACTCGCTGGCCGGAGCGGCGGTGGGGCTTGCCAGCGAGGCAGCCATAGGTGGCGCTGAGGTAGAAGAGACCATGGCACGCTGGAGGCGCGGAGGAGGCGACTGGAGAGGATGTCCGGGAGCAGGGGCACGAGGCGCGCGGCGCGAGGGCCCTGCTTCTCTGCGTATGACGGCGCAAGAGAACGAAGGGGAGAGGGACGAGGCTGGCGGCGCTCCGGTGGCTTTGGTCGCTGGCGGGGGAGAATCGAAGGGAGGCGGCGTGCGGTGGATCAGGGAAAGTGAGCGAGGGGTGAGGGAGCGATGGGATCGGGGGTTGCTGCGCGAGGGAGATGGGTCTCGGCCCCTGGCGGCGCTTGTGGGAGCGAGAGGGGTGAGGGATCGATCAGGATGGGGGTGCGCTAGGGTTAGGTGGCTGGGCTGCAGGAGGCCTTGGCCAAATGGGCCTAGGAGGCCGGCCCAACGAAGAGGGAGGCTGCTGGGCTCTCCACTCCCTCTCTTTTTCAAATCTCTTCTAAAAACAGAAAAGCAAAGAAAGAAAAGGAGAGAAAAGAAATGAGTGGACAAGAATTTGGGCATGGGGATTATTTTCCCGGACTCACAAAAATGAGCTTAATCCAAGAAAATAGGAATGGGCATGGATGCAAGGTTTAGAATCTAACACATTTGAATTTAATTCAAATGGGTGAATAGGGAGTGAGGGTTTGGAAGGCCCAAAATGTTGAGAATTTAGGAAGAGCCTCGATAAATGAGATAAGAGTTGTTGGCAAAGTTTGAGGCAAGGAATATTTTGCAAGTCTGTTATGGTTAATTCCACATGGGTGGAACATTTTATAATAGCTCCCTAATATTGGGAGGATAAGTTATCAAGAGAAATCACCATTGTGAACATCCCTCGATTTAAATGGACAAAAGATCCATACGATTTGTTTAGTTGAGTTGGAAAAATTAATGATATGATGACATGATGACATGATGCAATGCAAGAGATGACATGATGAATGCAACAAAGCAATTGAAACACACGACGAAAACGAAGAACATTGAAGGCTTCTGGAGCGTCGGTCTTGGAGCGTTACAACACTCCACCACTACAAGAGGATCTCGTCCCGAGATCTAGAATGGCACCGGAGGGACAAACGGAAGAGAAAGAGAAGAGGTAAAACTAAGTTGCTTCTTTGACAAACGAAGAAACCAGAGAACCTTGAAAAGGTTGAGTCAATTCGAGAAAAGAATGGAACGTAGATGAACGAAGTTGAATAATCTCTGTTAGAAAAGAGGAACAAGGGAGAACAAATTCAGGCAGCACTCCGGTTGGAAAGAAAAGGAATTGAATAAGGTCTTGATAAGATGAGAAGATACCTGATGAAATCACAACACACTGCCTCCATAACTATTGAATGGATGGAACAAGGGGTAAGAAATATCTCGGACAGCACTCCAGTTGAGAAACGATGTAAAACTTGATAAGATGAGAGAACTGGCATGAAAACACAACACTCCGGTCGAATGGATAAGCAAAGGAAAAAAACATGATCCTGAGGAAACAAGAAGATGAGTTGAAGAGAGCAACATCACAATGCCTCCGGAAAAAAGAAATAGGCGATAGATAATTGAAAAAGAAGGAATTTAGAAGAAAATGACAACTTCTGCCACCAATGATCTTGGAAGGCACCCTTCCAAGAAGGTTAAAATGTAGTTGTTGGGAAAGACCAACAACAAAACGAATAAGTATGTAGTGGGCATATGGAAAAACATCTCAAAACTATGAGGTGAAATTTTGCCACTAACGGAACCAATAGATTGGATTGATATCAGCAAGGAGACGAGAAACTATTTCACCGGAAGGATAAATGAAGGACTTGGATCATTTATAAGCACCATAATAGCAAAAATCCTTAGGGAAAGCTTTAGGTGAAGTATAACCCAAGATAACTCCAATGACGAGATTTGTGGATTTAAAATACCTCATCTTGATAACTTGTGAAACACGAAGCACGAAGGGAAATTATCAAGAATGACATAATACCACCTCCAATGATACGGTAGAAAGAAAATGCACTTCGGAATGCGAGATGAAGAATGCTTGAGCTCCTTAGAAAAGAATCTTGATGAACCCTTCGAGAAGGAGTTAAATCCTTGAAGAACCATCATGTAGAACCTCCATGAAGAACTCCGGTAACAAAAGGATGATCAAACGAAAAGAAAGAGAAGTTGAAAGCACAAGGTGAAACCTTGTAAAGATTTAGATAGATCTCTGTGATAACATAATTGCGAGAGCTTGGAACTCCGGGAAAGAAAGACGAGTACTTGAAACCAAGAATTTAATCATCGTGAACAAACTCCGGAAGAAAAGATTAAAATATGGATGAAACAAGAATAAGAATTATGTTATGCGTATCCTTCACCAATTTTAATTGATGACAAGCAACGGATTTGGCATACCACTTATTCTCATAGAAAGGATTAAGCGAGATATATCAAAACTTGAGAAGGTCTTCAACGAACCATCGGTAGAATTGAAATAACGAACAATTGATGAGGAAGAGAAGTCTTGAACGAACCATCGTAAGAATCAAAATGAACAAAGAAAAGACAAGGAACACCGTGAAAAATTATGAAATGAACGAGGATACTTGAGAGAAACTAGATACATGAGAACGAAAAGATCCCGAACTGATTAGAGGATATTTGCACGAAACACCGGTAAGATTTTGAGAAAAAGAGCTGAAAGCTGAGAATGAATAATTCTGAGAAGATGGCCTCCGGAGAATCAAACTGAAAAGACTCCTGAATTGCTCCAGATAGGTGAAAAGAAATCTCACATTCGAAAACGAATATGAGAGGATGGTCTCGAACTAGAACCACGAATCTTGAAGAGAATGGAGCAAGATTTAAAAGAAACTCTTCTTCGGTCTTCAAAATCCGAGAATGACGACGAGAAACACCACCATGAATTATTGAGACACTGCGAGATGATTAAAAAAAGGAGATGGTGAGCCAACGATGAAAATAATTTGAAAGATTTTGGAGAAATACATAAGACTGAAGATAATTCATTCTTACGTCAAACATGGAAAAGAATTTGAGAGTAACGCTGGGAAAAGAGAAGAGTCAGGTAAGATCCTGGGAAAAGACCTATGGGTTAGGGCCCACTCAAAAGAAACACTGCTGAAAAGATTACTTGAAAAGGAGATAGCACCGGTTGAATTAAATGGCTTGAATAAGATAACATCCTCGAAAGATCTTGAATGAATGCAGAGTGGAAAACATGAATCTTCAAGATATCTTGAGCACTCCGGAACAATTGAATAGCGAGAGGTGAATGATTAAGAATTGCACCGGCATGAGAAAGCATTGAAACGAGGAAATGATATGATCAACAAAGCTTGACTTGAAACCACCGGAGATGAAAAGAAAGAAGAATGACGAACTTGAAGCTCCATTAGAATCTTCCTGAGAATCACCGGATACGAACATTGACGGAAAAGGAATGGAGAGGCTTCATAACCAATAAGATGGATACTTGACTAAGAAAAACCGAGTCCTTGATGAAAAATGGGTGGGTGGGCGGGAAAACAAAGACAATTTGGGATGGATGAAATGAACACCGTTGAGAATAAGTGATACTTGATCTTGCGGATGTGGAAATGATCGGATCCACTTGAAGAGAAACACGCCGGTTGAAAAGAAATTGAAATGACAAACTCGATGATCAAGAAGGATTAGTATTCACATCGGAATATGAGAAGACCATTTGGAGGAAGGTATGGGATCAACATTTGACTTCGAAGCAACTCGAATACCACAACTCAAAACAAAAACAAAGGGTTGGCTTGCAGAATAAGCCGGAACAAACATATGATAGAGATTTCGTCCGAAGTTTCCGTGGTGGGGCCCACACGGGCTCAATCGTACAGCACCATCATGTACAAGGCAGTGCACATGACATACGAAGCGTCCCCGAGTCGGCATAGCCAAGGACTCTTTAAGACACAACGAGACCACTGTAAAACCGTCCGTGAATAGGCGGACCAGTAGACGTCGAACCCCAATTTCATATCATACATCTATCGGAAAGATATCCTAAGAGCTACTTGAATTCCCACTTATGAAACTCCCGAAATTTTCCGGTTATGCAATCAAGTGTTGGGGATACAGGGGAAGCATAATATCTCACCCAAAACTAGCAAATCCTACATCCAGCTGTATCCATCCTTCAACACATAACCAAGAAACCTTCGGAAATCATCTACCTCAACCTTCGAAAAGCATCCGTTATACAAGTTATGGCGATACTCCCGAACTCCCGCCCCAGTACTGGGTGGCGTCGAGGTTATCTCACCAACGAACTGCATAAAATAGATTTTCGATGTCGGCGTACTAAACTCAGGTATTCTAGAACTGCAACGATAAAATTATGACGACAACACCTCAGAGCTCAACTCCCCGGGACACTTCCACAAAACCCCTGACAGGAGGCACCAAGACAATGTTCTCATCATAAAACCATCGGAACGATTCCAACATACCCGCGTGATCCTAAATTTTTTTTAGTGAAATTTGAGAAGAGAAGAGTCAAAACTCTACGTCAGGATGCCTTACCAGAGCGATGAGGAGACTGAGAAGTAAAAAGAATTCCTAAACTCTCCGATATATAATTCCTAATGACTCAAAACATTTTTCTAGACTCAACAACGGCAGCTAATTCGATCAAGCAGTGGGGCTCCTAAGGTCGGGGAAGGCTCTGATACCAACTTGTAACGCTCTCGACGCGGCTATATCTCCCACGTTTCGAAGCACGACTTAGAGGCATAACCGCATTGAAAGCAATGTCGCAAGTGAGGTAATCTTCACACAACCCATGTAATACATAAGGGAAAGAGATACATAGTTGGCTTACAATCGCCACTTCACACAATTACATGAATAAAGCATTACAACAACCAAATACAATCAGGGCCCGACTACGGAACCAAAATAAAAGAAGAACCCCAAATGCGACATGGTCCACGAGACGTCGATCGTTCGGGGTCCGACTTGCGGGTCTTGCCGACATGAGTGGTACTTGGCGTTTCCGCGCCGTCGGTCTTGCTGGTCCCGGTCTCGACAAAGTAGTTGTACAAGTGCGCCTTCGGACTTGTCGAATCTGAACTCTTCAAGGACCGTCGTGGTACTTGGCGCTTGTGGGGTGGTGTTTGCCGAAACCAAGGGAACTAGACAAAATCTTTAGCGATGGAGCTTGGCGATAATCTTTGTTCGGTAGTCGTCTGACTTGACAGCAATGGCAACGGCAAGCGGAGGAGGTCCTGGGCTTCGGGCGCGCGATGCCACAGGGAGGAGACGAGAACTAGATGGCATGTGGAGAGGGTCGTGGTCGGGCTCAACCACGTCGAGGAGGCCGTGGCGGAGCGAGCAGGAGGCGCTGGGCATGGGAACCCCCGCGTCCAGCGGGACACACGGGATGCAGGAGGCAAGGCAAGGCGAGCTCGGCGGCCTGGACTCGCCGGCCGGAGCGGCGGTGGGGCTTGCCAGCGAGGCAGCCATAGGTGGCGCTGAGGTAGAAGAGACCATGGCACGCTGGAGGCGCGGAGGAGGCGACTGGAGAGGATGTCCGGGAGCAGGGGCACGAGGCGCGCGGCGCGAGGGCCCTGCTTCTCTGCGTATGACGGCTCAGGAGAACGAAGGGGAGAGGGACGAGGCTGGCGGCGCTCCGGTGGCTTTGGTCGCCGGCGGGGGAGAATCGAAGGGAGGCGGCGTGCGGTGGATCAGGGAAAGTGAGCGAGGGGTGAGGGAGCGATGGGATCAGGGGTTGCTGCGCGAGGGAGATGGGTTTCGGCCCCTGGCGGCGCTGGTGGGAGCGAGAGGGGTCAGGGATCGATCGGGATGGGGGTGCGCTAGGTTAGGTGGCTGGGCTGCAGGAGGCCGGCCCAGCGAAGAGGGAGACTGCTGGGCTCTCCACTCCCTCTCTTTTTCAAATCTCTTCTAAAAACAGAAAAGCAAAGAAAGAAAAGGAGAGAAAAGAAATGAGTGGACAAGAATTTGGGCATGGGGATTATTTTCCCGGACTCACAAAAATGAGCTTAATCCAAGAAAATAGAAATGGGCATGGATGCAAGGTTTAGAATCTAACACATTTGAATTTAATTCAAATGGGTGAATAGGGAGTGAGGGTTTGGAAGGCCCAAAATGTTGAGAATTTAGGAAGAGCCTTGATAAATGAGATAAGAGTTGTTGGCAAAGTTTGAGGCAAGGAATATTTTGCAAGTCTGTTATGGTTAATTCCACATTGACGGAACATTTTATAATAGCTCCCTAATATTGGGAGGATAAGTTATAAAGAGAAATCACCATTGTGAACATCCCTCGATTTAAATGGACAAAAGAACCATACGATTTGTTTAGTTAAGTTGCAAAAATTAATGATATGATGATATGATGCAATGCAAGAGATGACATGATGAATGCAACAAAGCAATTGAAACACACGACGAAAACGAAGAACATTGAAGGCTTCTGGAGCGTCGGTCTTGGGGCGTTACACTTTCATCCAAACCAGGGTACATTTTCTTGCCAATTTCATGGAGAATGTCGTTGAGAAGTTTCTTCACGCTAGGTTGGCGTCCTACCGGAACAAAAGCACTGCAATCAAACTGTGTTTTGAGCTTATCATATACTGCTTTGGCAAGAGTTGTCTTGCCAACGCCTCCGAATCCAAAAATAGAGATTATCTTTAGTTGCTTGGACACATCACCATCCCCGTCACTCAGCATCTTGGTTAGCTCATTCAATGAATCATCAATGCCAACGAGTTCTTTTTGGTCCTTGTACAGAGCCAACAGGCGAGGGTCGGCCATGGTTGCAACATCTGGATTAGCAGCCACCTCGTGGACCCTGTACCGGTCACGCCGGTCAGCCGCCTCCTGAACACTGACCTTGATACTTTTGATCTCGTTGCCGATGGCATGGCGTTTCATGAACTTGGTGAACAAGCCGCCCATCTTCTTCATGAGTTGTTTGAGCATGTGCGGCTTGTCTTCAGGTTCAGGGCCCTCGACATGCACCAGGAACTTGTCGATGATATCCTCTATTCTGTATGAAAGGTCTCTGACCTCGTTAGCCCAGAGCTGGTCCCGCGGCACGTCCCCGACCTTGCTGAGGGCAGCGTGCGTGCTCTCCAACTCTCTCTCTCGAGATGTTTGACATCATCCTTGACGCTTGTCTGCAGTTTGTACTCCTCCTTGAGGAGTTCACCGAGCTTGGGGAGCAGGCTGCCCATGGCACCTGTTGCGTGATCCATTGCTCGCACTTAGCAGCTGGGTTTTTGGGTGTAAAAATGCTTCCTTTCCTTTTTGTGATGACGGGATGAGTGGCTAGACTCCTTATAGATAGGAATAGGATGGTACAGACTACATATGGATAAGCCAGCTCCTCTAAATTTGTGTGGATGATGTGCAAGTGTCGACATTCCAAGACAATTCAACACAAAGTTTCTATATTTAAGTACGTTCATCCGAGGAAGGTTCATGGTAGTTGCTGGAATTTGTGTGCACGCTATTTAAGGGCCACTTTTGCTCAAAGGAGTTTCCTGCATTTTTCCTGCGATGCCACTATTTTAACATCTAAATCTCTGCCGTGCAATGTGCAGCCAAGTGGGATTCAGAGACTAAGAATTTGTGCTTGAGATTCAGTCCAAACATTGAGACTACAGGCACGCGGAGAGAGCACATCCACGGAATGGACGCCACGCCACCATAAAGTGACCGAGGAGAAGAAGACACGCCAATGCGCATCCACGGGACCACGAGCGGACACCGATGGCTTCTGTATAATTTACCCCTTCGCCTAGGAAATTCAAAAAAAAAATACCCTTCTCGTTTTTTGGAAATTCAGAATTGTGCACCATTTCCTTCAAATTCTTGAGTATACACGTTGGAGAGATCAGCAATATCAGCAGTCTCTAGGCTACTATTAGCCATTCATCAGTGGCTAATATCAACCTTCAACTGACTCAACCATTCGCTAGAGCGACAAGGACAATCTCAATGACGGTGCTGAAGATAAGTCTACCGCTAGTACACCGTGAGAGCAAAGCAATGGCAGAGTCACGGCCCGAAAGCAACGGAGGAGAACACGAATGTGCCTCCACAAGCAGGTTTTTTTTTAGAAAAGGAGGATGACCCCCGGCCTCTGCATCTGGGAGATGCATGCGGCCACTTTATTTATTATTCTCGAGAACCTTACAAAGTATTACAGCAATATGTCTGAATCCGTCATCTTGGCAACATATGCCGCTATTCCTATCCGAATGATGAAGGCATGCTAGGTGAACCACTACCCAGACCACTCATCTAAGCATAACATCAAAATGATGAAGGGGTGCTAGCTGGGCCACTACCCAGACCACTCACCTAAGCCTAACATCAAAAGCCGGAAGCCCCAGCCGGGCCACATACCGGGTCTGGGGTACAAACCGGTCCGACGCACTCGTGTGTCGTCGCCGCCATCTTCCACAAGTCCGTCTTCAGAGCAAATATTGAGGCTTCTACCTTGTGTGGCCACTCCGCCATCGACGTCGCCACGACACCAGACAGCTTCGTCCTCCTGCGCGAGACCATCGACACACATCGAACGCCGAATCTCCACTGTGCCACGCCGCCGAGATACGCCGCCATCAATGAGTAGGATGAAGCACCGCTCCGTCGAGTCCGGCAAGGCTGCTGAAGACCAAGCACCGTGGAAGAAGGACTCCGAGGCTGAGCACATAGGCGGCAGAGCGCCAACGCACCGCCACCAACCGCCGCCAAGCAACCAAAGCATCACATCCACCCCAAGTTCACCACGAACGACACCCCCAAGAGGGTGACGACGCCAGAGCGCCGCTGTCGCTCGATCCGGCAAGGATTTGGGCTTTCGCCCGGCATACAAGCTGGATGGAAGGAAGAGGGGAAGGAGGCAACCTGGACGGCGCCTTCAAGAAGGTTACGGCGCCCTCGGGTGTCACCGCCGTCGTGGCCAGCATTGGCCTCGGATTTCTCCGGAGCCACCTCCACCTCCAGCCGCCAAACAGGTACAACTCCGGCGACAAAGGCCGTCCAAAGCAGGACCATCGGAGGCAGCCCTGGTAGAAGTAGACAGAGGCCTTCAGATCTGGATCGGGCGCCGCCGACCACGTCGGAGCCGGGACCAAGGCCGCCGCCCGCAGCTGACGCAGCCAGAACCATGATGACGGAGATCCAGGAGGCAAGAGGGGGGACCTCAACCCCGCCCAAACTCATCGGGCAGAAACCACCAGGCCGTAGCCTCGGGGCCTGCCGACGACGCTCCCGCGGCCGCCACCCGCCGGAGGCGCAACCTCAGATCCGTCACACGCCGCCTGCACCGCGCCACAGGGAGCCGAGCCTCCCCCACCGCGATTCCCAACCCAGCGTCAGATCTACGCTGCTGGAAACCGAACGCGCCCGTGCCGCGCCTTGCGCGCCCTCGCCACGCCGTCCCGAATATGGCAACCCTCGCCGGTGCGCGCACCCACGGCTTCTGTATAATTTACTCCTTTGTTTAGGAAATTCAAAAAAAGTACCCTTCTCGTTTTTTGGAAATTCAGAATTGTGCACCATTTCCTGCAAATTCTTGAGTATACACGTTGGAGAGATCAGCAATATCAGCAGTCTCTAGGCTACTATTAGCCATTCATCAGTGGCTAATATCAACCTTCAACTGACTCAACCATTCGCTAGAGCGACAAGGACAATCTCAATGACGGTGCTGAAGATAAGTCTACCGCTAGTACACCGTGAGAGCAAAGCAATGGCAGAGTCACGGCCCGAAAGCAACGGAGGAGAACACGAATGTGCCTCCACAAGCAGGTTTTTTTTTAGAAAAGGAGGATGACCCCCGGCCTCTGCATCTGGGAGATGCATGCGGCCACTTTATTTATTATTCTTGAGAACCTTACAAAGTATTATAGCAATATGTCTGAATCCGTCATCTTGGCAACATATGCCGCTATTCCTATCCGAATGATGAAGGCATGCTAGGTGAACCACTACCCAGACCACTCATCTAAGCATAACATCAAAATGATGAAGGGGTGCTAGCTGGGCCACTACCCAGACCACTCACTTAAGCCTAACATCAAAAGCCGGAAGCCCCAGCCGGGCCACATACCGGGTCTGGGGTACAAACCGGTCCGACGCACTCGTGTGTCGTCGCCGCCATCTTCCACAAGTCCGTCTTCAGAGCAAATATTGAGGCTTCTACCTTGTGTGGCCACTCCGCCATCGACGTCGCCACGACACCAGACAGCTTCGTCCTCCTGCGCGAGACCATCGACACACATCGAACGCCGAATCTCCACTGCGCCACGCCGCCGAGATACGCCGCCATCAATGAGTAGGATGAAGCACCGCTCCGTCGAGTCCGGCAAGGCTGCTGAACACCAAGCACCGTGGAAGAAGGACTCCGAGGCTGAGCACATAGGCGGCAGAGCGCCAACGCACCGCCACCAACCGCCGCCAAGCAACCAAAGCATCACATCCACCCCAAGTTCACCACGAACGACACCCCCAAGAGGGTGACGACGCCAGAGCGCCGCTGTCGCTCGATCCGGCAAGGATTTGGGCTTTCGCCCGGCATACAAGCTGGGTGGAAGGAAGAGGGGAAGGAGGCAACCTGGACGGCGCCTTCAAGAAGGTTACGACGCCCTCGGGTGTCACCGCCGTCGTGGCCAGCATTGGCCTCGGATTTCTCCGGAGCGACCTCCACCTCCAGCCGCCAAACAGGTACAACTCCGGCGACAAAGGCCGTCCAAAGCAGGACCATCGGAGGCAGCCCTGGTAGAAGTAGACAGAGGCCTTCAGATCTGGATCGGGCGCCGCCGACCACGTCGGAGCCGGGACCAAGGCCGCCGCCCGCAGCTGACGCAGCCAGAACCATGATGACGGAGATCCAGGAGGCAAGAGGGGGGACCTCAACCCCGCCCAAACTCATCGGGCAGAAACCACCAGGCCGTAGCCTCGGGGCCTGCCGACGACGCTCCCGCGGCCGCCACCCGCCGGAGGCGCAACCTCAGATCCGTCACACGCCGCCTGCACCGCGCCACAGGGAGCCGAGCCTCCCCCACCGCGATTCCCAACCCAGCGTCAGATCTACGCTGCTGGAAACCGAACGCGCCCGTGCCGCGCCTTGCGCGCCCTCGCCACGCCGTCCCGAATATGGCAACCCTCGCCGGTGCGCGCACCCACGGCTTCTGTATAATTTACTCCTTTGTTTAGGAAATTCAAAAAAAGTACCCTTCTCGTTTTTTGGAAATTCAGAATTGTGCACCATTTCCTGCAAATTCTTGAGTATACACGTTGGAGAGATCAGCAATATCAGCAGTCTCTAGGCTACTATTAGCCATTCATCAGTGGCTAATATCAACCTTCAACTGACTCAACCATTCGCTAGAGCGACAAGGACAATCTCAATGACGGTGCTGAAGATAAGTCTACCGCTAGTACACCGTGAGAGCAAAGCAATGGCAGAGTCACGGCCCGAAAGCAACGGAGGAGAACACGAATGTGCCTCCACAAGCAGGTTTTTTTTTAGAAAAGGAGGATGACCCCCGGCCTCTGCATCTGGGAGATGCATGCGGCCACTTTATTTATTATTCTTGAGAACCTTACAAAGTATTATAGCAATATGTCTGAATCCGTCATCTTGGCAACATATGCCGCTATTCCTATCCGAATGATGAAGGCATGCTAGGTGAACCACTACCCAGACCACTCATCTAAGCATAACATCAAAATGATGAAGGGGTGCTAGCTGGGCCACTACCCAGACCACTCACCTAAGCCTAACATCAAAAGCCGGAAGGCCCAGCCGGGCCACATACCGGGTCTGGGGTACAAACCGGTCCGACGCACTCGTGTGTCGTCGCCGCCATCTTCCACAAGTCCGTCTTCAGAGTAAATATTGAGGCTTCTACCTTGTGTGGCCACTCCGCCATCGACGTCGCCACGACACCAGACAGCTTCGTCCT